CGATAGAAGTGCAGTTTACTGGCTGTCATTGTTTTCAGTTACAATCAGTTTGTTATAAGTTTTTTAATGATAAGCGATGCTGATATATCTAAAAACAGCTGCCTCAAAGTAGTAAAGTTATGAAACTACTTGCCTGGATTACCTCAAAACCAGCATCGTTCGAAGTCATGTTAGCAGGTGCGTGAACACAGCTTTAACTGCCCAGTTTGCGTAGATTCATGTTTTTTTTCTTCAGTATTTGCTTGTATACTTGATAATTTTCTTTCTTCAGTTAATGATTCATACTTATTTTTTAGGCGTTGCTAAAGGATTATTGATTTTTTCCCGCTTTTTCTCGATAAATAATAATAAATAACTGATTTTACAATAGTAATTTATCTTCCTTTGAATACTCGAACTCAGGTCGCGGGCAGGCTGATCACCAGGCGGTGTAGCACTCCTAGCTGGAAAAGTTATCAGCTGCGTAGATGAAGAGCCACTTATACTGATGAATAAAATATCATAGTAGTTTATCGTCATGTAATAATGATGACAACGATTTTTTTAAAGTGTTAGCTTATACGTTTCTTTTTTTTTTCCATTACTTTTTAAATTTTTAAAGTGATAATTTATATTTTTTTTTGTGGTTACATTTTAAATTACAGCTATAAGGATTTGATCAAGAAAATGGAGGAGCAGCTGGAGTTGAAAGAAATCCCACCGGTCAGCAAACCTCTGGAAACCGATCCGCAGTATAGACTGATCGTCGAGCTTTCTGGAGTGAGTTTTTTTTTTTTAATATAAATCGGAGAAAATTTCGCTTCTTTATTTCATGTGTGATAACGTTCTGATTAACGCCTCTGGGCCATCAACTTTGAAAAATAGCAATTCTGATCCAAAAAATCTGGCAGTCTTACAGCTGGCGGCAGAAGTGGACCAAGAATTGAATGTTATTCATAAATTTGTGCGTGACAAATACGATAAACGATTTCCCGAATTGGAATCACTGGTCCCAAATGCTTTGGAATATATCGCTACTGTAAAACTGCTTGGCAATGATATTTCAACAAAAGGCCAAAATAAGCAAATTCTGAGGTGCCGAAAAACTTTTTTTTTGTTTCTTAGTTTTAATGCGATAATTGGGCAAGCCAGTTTTTCCACAATTCAGTTATACGATTTCTTGTCACAGTAAAATGTATGGCGCATGCCACGAGGATAAAGGCTAAAACCAGCTTATTTATAAGCTAACCGCGAAAATGGAAGTTTTTTACTGAGGTTTTTGTCCAAGTGCTCTGTTTCTCACGAGATTTTTAGCTACTTGAGGTGTGTTTAAAAATATACTCTCTGTTTTTTAGGTCATATTCCTTATTTTCATACTGGATCTAGTTTTAGATTATTGGATCTAATTTTAATTTTAGAT